TGAAATGATAAAAAGTATTTAGGATGAGGAAGTAAATATCCATCTGTAATAACTCTTGATTCAACCAAAACTTGAGAGGGTGATGGAAGAAATAGGCATTCTGCATAACAACAGATTTCAAGTCAGATACCATTGAGAAGCAAGGTCCCATTGGAGGTATCACATTGAGTGCATCTCAAGAGAAACACTGTGAAATTAAGCCATTATCCCCAAAGCAGAAAGGATGTCTTTGGCAGTAGGTGTTGAAGACAGGAGTATGTACACTAGACTTCTTGAACTGTGATGATACAGTATTTCATCTGCATCAAATACTGTGTTAATACTTAAAGTAGATAAGGACACTCCACCCAAGAGATGTAGCATGGTGGGTGATCAACTGAGACTATGGTAACTGGCACAAGCAGGAATGTTACTGTACACAAACATTTTTATCACTGACAGTGAGATTGCATAATAGTATTGTACCATTCAACTATCTCAAGTGTCAAGTTTCTCATTTTGTTCTTAGATAATATTGATTATTACTTTAAGTAAAAACTGTTACAGTAAACCTTTTTCCAAAAATACTTATAATTTTTATTCTGGTATGAACATAGGACTTAGATACAGTGAAAAACACACATCCTCCTTACTTGACCACACTTGCACTACACAATTAATAATTAACATTTCAATCAAAAGAGCATACAGTGTACTGAAAACCCAGTTTCAAACCCAAACTAAGACTATGAATCAAATTCTATTAAGCTGTTCATGATCATCTTTACTTTCATTCAATTATTTCCTTCTCTAGAAATTATTTTTTGCTTGGCATGCTGCAAAATTTCCTTGTATATTACTCAGATATTGGATGCATTAAATTATAAATTACTAGGTAAACAGGACAAATTCAATTATTCTCTGGGACAAGTTCAACTGTTTGTACAAAGATTTATGGATACAAATAGCATCCTATTCTCTGAAACCCTTACATATTCCAAATTATTAGTTACTGTCAATTAAACATTCTGGTTTCAAAACTTTTTCAATTTGATATTTTAACAAATTACTGATATTATATAGCGACATCTGCATTTGTATTTAAATGGGTTTTCCTTAACTTCCACTGGTAATATTTTACTTGACTTTTGTAGATAACCCCTACCCAAGCTGTACTTCTCATCATGATGTGTGCTACAGGCAATGCTTAATGATGCATATTTTGTTTGATAATTATTTGAATAAATAAGTACATATATGAAATAAAAACTCACCAAAACTGTGTAAATATGTTTTATATTTGAACTACCAGGCTTTGTTGAAATAGTTAAATTGTTTGTTTTCACTTTGACATCTTTCAAAGCTTTCCAACACAAACATGTCAACTATGTAACATATCCTGGATATTGTGTTCCTTCTGTGACAACCAACATGAGGGCTATTTTATTAATATACTGAAATTTGAACAATCAGTATAACTTATTTAATGAAAACAGTCTATCTCTAAATAATAATTTATTAAAGACACTTTAGTTTTAGTCTGTAGTAAAATGATCGTCCATAACCAAGACTTAGGAAGATAAAAATAAATGTTGTCTAGAACTCATATTTCATTCAGGCATCGGCCTACCTATTATTTATGTAATCTATTGAGACAGCCTTGATACTCCATGATAATTAATGGTGAACAAAAAAGACTGATGTAGACAAAACAATATTTATGCATAAGATATGCATATTCATGTTTTAAATATACCAGAATTAACCTGTATAGGTTTTTTGCGGTTAATGATAATTTATTTTTTCACCATCTGTGTCTTGGAAGCATCACTGAAATCACATGAAATTCCCCATCTTTCACCAGATTTAGCCTGTGAAATGAACTTCCCTAATGTTTCCTGGACTGGGAGCGCAAAATATAAATTTCACTGACTTTTTCAGTTCCCCTGAGCTATGTGAACATGTAAAATACAAACTCACCTGATTAATAACAATGGAGATGACAGTGGACTACTAAGTAAGTTGGACATGATGGATATACGTTAAGTAAGATTATATGAACTTCATAACTCAAGGATTAACTACAAGAACACAAACAATTACAAACAGCATGAAGCAAGATGTAGATCTGATAAGGAAAAAATAATCAATATTTGACACAGATTCTAACTCGGGTAACTAAATACACAAGAGATAAGCAGTTTAAACTACCTCATAATAGAGGAAACGGGAAAACTCCTGAGCCAAAGAATCGTGATATGATATAAATTATCTGTTTGGGACATTCATAATGTACTTGTGCATGAGATATGGCTGTGTACTGCCCTCACTGGGCACAAACAATAACAATTTTTCATTTATAACTCTGACAACACAATTAGAGAAATTGTCCTGACTTTCTAAATTAAACAAAACTGAACTTGGTAACAAAATTCTATCCAGATATGAACATAACAATTACTAGGAAATACAAGTTAAATTAACATTAATAGCATGTATGCCAGATGGACAATGAGAGATGAAAAAAACATCTTTCAAGACTGGAGAGAAAAAAAAGAGTGTCACAGAAAGAAAGCAGAGGAAGATAGACCACTTTAGGTAAACAAAAAGGAAAAACTCACGTATGAGGTTAAAAACAACAAACAACACACCACACTGGTGTACAACTGGGCTGGGATACAACTTCTTGCATGTATCTTTCTGTATTGGTCATGGTGCCAGAAGTTGACCTATGTTCCTTTGTTTCCAATGCCATTATATACCAACAGATATATTCGCATAGTACCAACTGCTCAATACATTCAGTATTACTTATTTTAATAGTATACCTTGACAAGACAAAAGTTGAAATAATAAATCATATTATGTATTACAATAAAAGGTTTTTGTGTGAATGCTCAAAATTAAAATCAATGTACATGGATTGTTAACCCTTTTACAATGTGTTTCAAACTTAGATCATAAAAACACCAAACAACACACTGTTTACACCATATGAAATACAATTTTCATTTCACTTGATATACAGTTAAGTACACTGTGTGTATGAGCCCGACTGATATAAGTGATGATACTTCAAAGCATACAAGAATATATCATCAGAGAAGAAGCCCAATACCCAAGATCTTTTGGAAAGTGGACTTTCCTACACCCCCCTCTGGAAAAAAAGTCCACTTTTCAAAAATGCTCATGGTGTTTTGGTTTATTTTGTGATATAGCTCGTATCAGTCTTATTATGATGTAATATCACACACACAGTACTATTAGATGTCATGCTCTGCCAGATAAGCTGTTCAACACCCTATGATTTGTTGTCTGATAAACAAATGGCATAAACAGTGTTTTGTTTATAATCTTGTATGTTGTAGTTTAGTTCTAATACCAAGCAAAAAAAAGTGTTATTGGAAGCCACATGCAACAAACAAGGTACAATGTAAATGTTATCATACATTTTTCTTACTAAAGTCTTGCAGATAACTCTTGTAATTATTATCAGCCTTACTGTAATATTACTAATAGGAAGGCAATAACCTTTAAGAATTTGCATTCCCTTATCAGTATTTTACCAATAAAATTCACTAATAAAATATATCAACTGATTTCCACCCCTCTCCAAGGATCTTTAATATGCTTCATTTTACACCCCTTTAATATGTTTTCTGTATATAATTTGTGACTAACAATTCAAAAAGTCATTTCTAAATACTTGATATTAAATATAGGCAAAATCAATAATTAAGCCTTGTTTGATATACTATTCATGTCAACATTTACAATATAAATGTGTACATGCTTAAAAAATTCAACATTTTTACTAATATCTTGTAATATTTTAAGGTAGGTGAAGAACTTGAAGTTAGAAATATCAGAGCTAAGACTTCCTTGATTTACCATTAAAGAAACTATGCATCAGAAAGCTGCAAACTATATTTTTTCTTAATCAATTTCAATTCTTTATAAATTCTATGAAGGCAGTTTTCCTTTAAGGTTCACTGCATTGTGAATTACACTTTCGATCAATAAATTAGAGTAATAGTATAAAAAAACTCAAAACTAAAAAAGGACTTTTTTTTTGTAGAGCATTTCAAATTATTAAATGTAAATAATGCAAAGATTAATAAAACATAAAATACCAAAATTCTGTATGTTATATTAGAGCAATTTTGGAGCTTTACCACACCATTACAGTCCATTTCACCATGTCCAGTCATACACTATATGATGATTGTGTATCTTAACAATAACCCTGTTGTATAGTTGTAAAGCAGTCATGTCTAAAGCAAACACCCCTTTGTGCACTTCTCAATAATCCATCTAGTGTACAAGGATGATCTTTCTCAGAGCTTGTTCTAATGGACCAATCAGACAGAAATCCATAACAATGTATACAGTGATTTGACCAGGATGTCTTTATATGGAATAGCATAAATACTGATTTCATTCTCCAACTGTTTGAGGTAGTCAACGAATGAAGAAGTATGTCATAGAAGAATGTACATGAGTTATGTTGCTTTTCCAGATAAAATCCTTTTTGATTATACTTTTTGTGTACTGTTGCCTGGTGCATGTGGATGGCTTTTGTCACTGACCTTTGTGTTCTTGGATTCTTAAGGCTGGGGTATGACTTCTTGCATGTCTCTTTCTGTATTGGTCATGATGTCCCAAGTTGACCTATGTTCCTTTGTTTTCCAATGCCATTAAATACCAAAGGATATCCACATCCTTGATCTGAACACATCTTTATGACTTAATAGCATGAATATTTTATGTTGAAAAAACTGTTACATACCCTTCCAAAAGCAATAATTTTTTGTTGGCATCACACTATCTACAAAACAAACAATGTCAAAATGTAATTCTGATACATTCCATCCACTGTGAATTTATATCAGTTGTAGTTGTCAGCTTAGTATAACATACTCAACCCTGTATTAAATTCCTGCAGTAGTAGGGCTATTTAAGATAAGGTATTTTAAGACCATAACATTACTTACAGAGATTATCAAATAGAGTCAACTTACCAACGATTTTTGCCAGAGGTTTAAGTTTAAATCTTTCTACAGCTTCTCTTGTCATTAAAACACATGCAGCAGCACCATCACTTAAGCTGCTAGCATTGGCAGCTGTAACCGTTCCTAATACAACAGAACATTGTTAAAATACATAGTACCAACTGCTCAATACATTCAGTATTACTTATTTTAATAGCATGCCTTGACAAGATAGAAGTTAAAATGATACATCACATCCTGTATTGCAGCAAAAGTTTTTGTGTTAATGCTCATAAATTAAAATTGATGTATAGGGATTGTTAAACCTTTTACAATGTGTTTTGAACTTAGATCATAAATGGCAATACTTCTGTTTATGTGTTTCACTTGTGAAAGAAACCAAAGAAACATTTTCAAAAAAATTGAGTTTTATAATCATAAAAATAATATTTAAGCAAACCTTTAGCTAAAACAAAAAAATACACAAATTAAACAAGTGCAGTAATTAGGTGAGGTTTGAATTCTCTATTTAGTTATTTAAATTTGCTACACAATGAAACTTATCTTATTTTTGCAATACCTAGGAAAAATAGAATAATTTTTTTTTACATTTTAGGCTAAGTGTAGTTTCTTAAATTTCATCAAATTATGCTCATTTTTAAAGTGATGTCTTTAATTTCTTGCCTTGCAGCATATATGAGGCAAACATAATATAATTTTATGGGGAATACTGACATCATAATGGAAAATTAAAAATAAATTATTAGTCAAATTAATGTACATATTATATTGTCTGAATTAAACTTTCATAGCATAAAATGTATTACAGACTACAAATAAGGTTCCAGTCAAAATTTGACAGCATTGGTAAAACTTTAAAATTTGTAAGTTTAATTTATTTTTATACAATCAACTCATCTTTACATATGCCTAATGGTAATGTGTTTCTGCACATTGGTGAATTTAAATTTATAAGTCCCTTTAAGGTAAATTATATGACCTCATTGACCTCACTCATGTAAAAATTGCACACTAGAATATTCTTAAACTCATTGTCTTTCTATAAACATATGCTAAACTTTTGCAAACAGTCAGGTTAAACAGAGTACCTTTTGAGAACCATGGTATGATATATACCCATGTGTTTCTACAGTTTGTTTTTTAAAAACCTACTAATATTTTGTTGGCAAATGGGACATACTAGAGAGCAAGAGAGAGAGAAAAAAAAAGAGAGTTTAGTTGATGCAAGTCCTCTTGCTGTACTGATTAATTTGGTAGCTTATTTAAAGTTTAAGGTAAAACTTCATGTGATACCAGAGTTAAAACTGTTTAAATAAGATGAAAGAAAAAACAGGGCATTACAGTTATATATATAGATAGTCTCTCTGGCTTTAACTTTTGTAGATTTACCACACTAATCATCTAAAACTGCACTATATTGGAAAACTTAACAGACACGGTCTGATTTAATTATGTCTTGATTAGTATTATTACGATAGTGGAAGCCACATGACGCTAGTAACATGTCATGATATTCTCGAAGGTTCTTGAATGCTCGAGTGCTTGCTAGATGTGCAGTATTCTTGTATATATATGAACCAGACAATGAATTGAGACAGAATTGCAGACAGACAAAGACGGACAATTGAGTCAAGCGAGGTAGTAAGTAAGTGCGTGAATCATTCGTTGTGAATTATAGCGTGTGTTTAAGTTAAATTGACTGTGGAAATTAAGTGTATTGCAAAATTGTATTGAGAAAGAATAAACTAGTTTTTATTTAAGAAAGGACTTGTATCGCTGAAGTTTTTCGGAAGGAATTTTTACGGGAAATGAACAAAGACCAGAGACGTAACAAATTGGTGTCAGAGAGTGGGACAAAAAATTTTAATTTAGTTGAAGCCTTAATCTCATTATATATATTTTAAAACAAGTTATTATATTTGCAATTATTTTTTCTTTCTAGACCTGTTTGGCCCAGTCATGAAGCAGCACACACAGGTCCCAGAAACTTTCATCAGGTCAACGGCACTGCCCTTTAACAACCCGCCCACATGGTGGAAATCTTCCAGTCGACATCTGTATGCTTTCCACTGTGAACATGGGTTGTTGAATGGCTGTGATGTCGGCCTGGCTAAGTTTCCATAAGGAGCTTGTAGTTAACACTGAATGACCCTACCACAGGTTGGGGTGATCAAAGTGTGTGTTCATAGGGGCAGGTTCTAAATACATCAGTTTTTTTTTTCATACTTCATCAACTAATTCAGGTTCAGAGCCAGAATCATCATCAGCTTGTACAAGGTTAAATTTTCTCTTCAAGTGTGTAAACACTGGAACAATTTGATGCTATTTTGGGTCTATTTTCTCATAAAAATTTAACAATTTTCATCTGGAAATATTGCTGATGTTTTCAATTACAACATACACATGATGATATAGAATGCCTTTTAGATGCTATAAATAAATAGTCACATAACTGCTACTGAAGTTCTTCTCAAAAACATTTATTTCAAACATCGTTACAAACCAACTTCAACATTTCTCTCAACTGTTTCATGACAAGTACGAGGGTAAACCACACACATTCAACACACCATTATAAACTTCAAACAGAGCTCTTGTCAAGTGTTCAGTTTATTATTCTAATGATTTGCCAAACATGATATATAGTGTTACATCACATCGTAACAAATGAGGCATATGAGACTGGTTAAAATATTTTTAACCTTGTATGCCCAAGAGCACTGATTTATGCCCCAAATCGTTCAAAATAATTAAAATATTGATCATAGATGGCTACATTTCGCTGTAATTACAGTGGGAAAGTTTTACAAATTTCCAAAGACTGCTGTTTAGCTATAGATGGCACTTATTTGCAGCCTAAAACATATTTTGGATTTTTCATAAAATTCTCTTTAAACTTAAATAAAACAATTTAGTAGAAATAATTAAATGTTACAGTTCTATATAAAAATAATTAAATGTAAAAGACTCTGAATAACTTCTCTATAATGTTGTTAATTCAGTGATGCAATTTTGCTCTGGAGCAATAGAAAAAACCCTTCCAGACATGACCAAGAGACTGCTCAACCTGAACACCAAGATCTGTTTCTTCCATAACACTTAAGATTATTCCCATCCAAATTACACTCATAATTAAAACTGTAATATCCTAAATGCATTAGGTTGCACATATTGTACTTAAATGTAATCTACCATTTACTCGTCAAATAATCAAAATCCTTTTGTAAAGTAGCAGCAGTCTCTTAACAGTCGGCAACATCCAAAACCTTAACATCTGAAACAAGTAATTTATTGTCTTTTCCTTTATATATGTCATTGATGTGAATCAAAAAGAACAAAAGTCCTAAAATTGAGCCTTAAGGTACACCACTTTAATTCAGTTTGACACACAACAACCCTCTGTTTTCTTCCATCTGGAGAGTTTTATATCCAATGAGCCAACCTATATCTATATAAATCATTTTTTTAACAAGCCTTTTATGTGGAACCTTGTCACATTCTTCCTGAAAATCCAGATACACGAAATCTACACCATACTCTCATCTACATAAACAGTAACCTCTTCTTAAATCAAAGAATGTCAAAAGATTAGTCAGGCAAGATTTTCTCTTGGTGATACCATGCTGACGATACAACAAAATTTTAAACTTTGTTAAATGACTTTGCAAAGCATCTTTTTTCATACATTGAAAACCTTTTCCCACCACTGATGTAAGACTAATAGGCATATAATTACAGGGACACTTTTTTATCACTTCCCTTAAAAACAGCAGTAATATTAGCCAACTTCTAATCTTCTGGAAATATATCCAATCCTTAACCTCTTTTTAAAACCCTTGAGTAAATATTATCCAGTCCAGATGCTTTATCATTTTTTTAAACTTCCAAATTTTTCTTATCAAGCTCATAATTAACTAAATTAATGTGATAATCTTTTTCAACCATATTTCCATCTAGCAACTGTTCAGGTTGAGAAATATTGCTTAAAATTAAATTTTCCTTAGTAAAAACTGTGCATGTCAGTCCCAAATAAAACCCAATCATTGCATTTGTCATACCTCATAAATTATAAACATATAAAATTTACACTTCTGGTAACAACTGTACTCTGGTAATAAATAATAAACACTAAATTACTTAGTTATTCTCAGACTCTGAGTAAATACAAATAGCCTATTGAAAACACTGTTAAGCCTAACATCAGATTTAAATATATATTAATAGTATTATCTTATCACTACCTCAGTTATATTCTCACTAAAGTAATTAAGTTTACCTTTAGTTTACAATAAAATTAAACAAATAACTAATCTTCAGATTACACGCCTATATAGATATAACAATAATACAATTTTTTTAGCCTGTTTTGTAACTTACCAATAACTGAATAAACGTAAATTATATTTCATAAGTTATACTTTAGTTAATAATACACTAGCTAAGCCAAACTAGATTAAACTTAAAATGTATTAATATTTATTATTATACTGTAATTAAATCTAACCCTGTTTTACCTTTCACTTACATAACTTGCTTTTCTCATCTAAATTATGACGCAATAATTCTATCGGCCATTAAACAATTATTGAATGAATAAAACTTAATAAAAGTACGACGAAATACCATTTATATCATGAATTAGGCTTAATACAAACATTTCACTGCATTGCAAGGTTAGTGTTAGGCCTAGTATACTATGGTACTGTACTACTACACTCTAGCCTAGCACGGTGGTGATACTATTACTACTACTAGTATTACTGGCACCGTATGTTTCTTCAAACCAATGAATTACACATTTTTGAGACTAGAATATTTAACTTAATACATTCGTATTATTAAAGTTTGTTGTCTTTATTTACTTATTAACACATACCAATCCAAAGAGATAAAGTCGTCATATAAAACTTGTACAATGTCGAAACAAAAATTGCCAACGTTCCAATATCGAGCAACGAACACGCTGAGAAAAGTGAAACCGCCTCGGTGCAAAAAGCTAACAATAACCCTTGTTCAGCACTTGGATAACCTGAAAAAAAAAAGTTAGTTGTGTAACGATTCACCAATGAAAAGTTTTTACATGGGTAAACAGGATATTTTGTACAATTGGATTTTAAATACAT